GAATATCACACGTGCATTGATCCCAGAAACAGGTGAGCTATTCAAGTGCATCTTCCAAAAGAGGTCTCCGCCTCCCTAGGAGCACAGGCGCTACCCCTATGAAAATAGCTTCTTATTCCTAACATGAAATTGTTTGGCATCTACCAATAACTTCCAGTTCTGCCTTCTCTGTGAGGTACTTGTAATAAGTAAAGAAATTACATTGAGTTGGTAACTGACTATGTCACCCAAACCTTCCCCAAACAGCAGTCAGGTCTGTGAGGTTCCAAATTCCGCAAAAGGATTTATATATGCTTTCATACAGTTAAAATTGTGGACCTCTATTGGCACTCGTCAAATTTTACACTGCAGGATTAGTCTCCAGTTTAGTCTCAGCACAGTCCCGGAAGCCAACACATCTGTGTGTGACTACAGGCTCTGTGAGATCAGGCTTATTTTTGATGGAATGAATTTTTACATACCCTCTAAATTGACACGGGCATTGACAATAGTTAAGTAAACAGTGTCTATATGTAACATATGCAAAACAACATAAGGAAGCCAGGGAAAAGGACAGATTTTTCCGAAGAAAAGAAATTAAAAAAAATCACTGTTAAGCAACATCCAGGCTATTTGTGACTTGTGGAGCTAGAAGAACCTTGTAATTCCTGATTTAGGAGCTAAATTAGATCTGTCAGCTTCATCTGCATGCTCCATTTCACCAGACATGATCATCTAATGACAATAGTCTTGATGACTTGATTTTCTCCAAAATTTTTACTGTGAGAGTTAACAGATAGTCTGATGGCCTGATACCAAACATGCCGTGTACAGCCAGTGTTTTCAACCTGTGCAATCTGTGCAGTAGGCTCTAAGCAAGAAAATTTCTGCCTGACAACCATGCTGGAAGCTGTTGTTCCACATTGTATACAATTACTATGTATGGGGAGTCCTAGTCTCTTAATTAAGTGCCTTATGAAAAATGTTTTGTTGTTGTTATTGCTTTAAGAATAGCAATAGAGAACCCCGTTCCCCCAAATGCTGCTGAAGTACTGTACTGGCAAAATAAGCCACATAGAAAGCGTCAGGTCAAGGGGTACGTCTTCGTGTATGCATTTATCATTAAAAGTAACAGTTATAGGAAGTTTCCACTGTGCAAACATCTACCTTTGGTTTCTGAGGCATCAAACAACCCTGGAGACATATCTGGGTTTCATCTCCTATAATAATTTGTCATTGACTGTTCTCAGTCTGATGGCAGCAACATCACCTTTTCCTTTTTCAAGCTTCATTTCACTGCTTTTTAGTGGAAAGTACATACAATTCTGCCATGTTTTTCGCATCCTCTTTACTGTGGGCAATAGAACAGAAACCTCTTTCCGTTTCTCTGCCGGTACGTTCAATGCGTGAACTGTCTCTCAGGGACACGTCGTTTGTTTTTTTTCTTGCCATCACAATTTTCTCATCACCTCTGATGCAGGATTTGGTAAGTGGTTATCTCGGCAATTACTGTGGTTTTACACTGTGGTGCAGCTAAGCCCCAGCGCAAACACTTTACTCAGAGGGCCGACAGCAACCCGACTGACCACGCAGCTTTTCCACAGCGTATCGCTTAGGGGTCCTACAGCAGCCAAAGGCACGAACCCGCGTGTAGGCACCTACAGGCGCGATGGCCGGCTGGAGGACGCCGCAGGTGGGCCCACCTGCCTGACAGTAAACCTGAGGGGCCCTGGCTCCCTTCCTCACCTAGTCACGCGGGGCGTTGACTCACGGGGCATTCGCTCTCTGAAGGCGGCAACACAGCCGTGACGAAGGCGGAGGACACCCACGGCAGCGCACGGCTCAGGGGCGGGAAGCTGAGGTGAAACGCCCGCCCTGGCGCCCGGCCCTCGGCCTCAGCGCGGCCGCGCGCAGTGCATGCCGGGAGCTGTAGTTCTCCCGCCGCGCGGAGCGTGCCGGGCAGCCGCGGTGCACGCCGGGAGTTGTAGTTCGCGGCGGCGGCGGGGCGGGGCGGGCGCTCGCCCGCCCCCACGTGAC